GCTCGGATCCAAGAAATCCGTGCGGAGCTTTGAAAGTTTGTGTGCACATACAAAGAAAAAGTATATGAAGGACGCGTGGTAAGGACGCAAGACCCTTGGAGGCTGAAGTTGGGATTTTTTTTGGGCGGCGGCGACCAGTGAAAACGGCAAAGGACGGGCCACAGAGGCAAGGATGCAAGGGTATCCTAGATGAAGGCGCGCGTCCTCACTAGGCGCGTTGACTGTATGCCGTTTTCTCTCCCTCGAGGTCAGAGAGAGGGATGGAACATATGCAGAGAGAGATTTCCCTCGAGGTCAGATAGAAGTTTCTAGTTAGGTCTCCCTCGAGGTCAGAGAGAGGGAGACCTCGAGGGATAACTAACTCGAGGTCAGAGAGAGGGATGGAAGGTGGACCCCTCGCAGGACGGGGCCGTGCCTGAGCGGCAGGCCTCCTGAGCGCTCGCCATTCCAGGGGGGGCGCTTCCCATAGTGTTAAGTCGGGCCTGTCCCCCTACAGGCCGATTTTGGACGAAAAACTGGAAATTCCCCAAGAATGCACCTGAAAATACACTAAAAATGCTCAAACATAGCCCCCTGACTATTTCCCTACCTAGGCTCTGCCTAGAGGGTTCTTACTTTATTTGCTTAAAGGGGCCGGGCAGTGTAAAACGCCCCGGGCGGTTCCCCCAGTCCCCGCCCCGCGGTTCCCCCAGTTGCGCCCCCTGGGTTCCCCTAGCTTAGCTTAGCTTCGCTTCGCTTCGCTTAACTTAGCTTAGCTGATCTCATCTTAGCTTAGCTTAGCTTAGTTTAGCTTAGCTTTGCCTAGCCTAGCCTAGCTTCGCTGAACTTATCCCATCTGAGCTTAGCTTAGCTTAGCTTAGCTCAGCTTAGTCTAGCCTAGCTTCGCTTAGCATAGCTTACCTTAGCTTAGCTTAGCTTAGCGCAGCAAAGCGCAGCGCAGCATTAGCACAGCATAGCATAGCATAGCCAATCATATCATATCATCGCAAATCAACAACGTCAAGCAAACACAACAACACAAGCAAAGCAAAAGCGACAGCAACAGCAAAGGCAAAGGCAAAAACAAAGGCAAGAGCAAAGGCAGTGCAAAGCATAAGCAACACCAATGCGAAATTGTAGATGTAGATGTAGATGTAGGTGAAGGTGTAGATGTGGATGTAGGTGTAGATGTAGATGTAGATGCAGGTGTAGATGTAGGTGTAGATGTATATGTAGATGTGAGTCTCGCTGTTGATGTAGATGTAGATGTAGATGCAGGTGTAGATGTAAATGTAGCTGTCGGTGTAGATGTAGATGTTGCTCTCCTAAATGCTCAAACTTCTAGGTAGGGTCGCACTGGGATAATTTTTGACTATTTTTGAACATTCCCCTGTAGAGGGACAGGCCCGACTTAACCATAGTGGCGTGGTGAAAAAAAGCCCTTGCAGGGACTCGTGAGGAGGGGACTCTTGGGACGCGGAGAGTGCACTGCAGCATTCCCTGGCTCGAGATCCACCCTACTTTGGGCGACATCGTAGGTAGAGCGGAAATGTCGGCCCTACTTTCAAGTTCCTTTGATGCCGATTTCCACCCTACCTTGCCGCCGACGCTTCCGCCACTTTTCTGCAGAAACAAATGGAAGTAGCCGCCCCGCTTGTCTGCGGGGGAAATTTCTGACCTACTTTTTCGCTTCGTTTGGGGTGCATGTTCGAGCAAATTCCAAATCGGAGAATCAGGCAAAGTACGGATCCCGAGTCAGGACCGCTGCCGCTTCCTGGGCTTACCCTGGGACCCGACGCTGTGGAACAAAAAAACAGCATCGCGAACAGGACTCAGGAGGGAAAGAAACACACAGGCACAATGAATCGCCGACTCCCCAGAAAATATGGGAAAGTATGGGAAGTGGGGGGGAAGGCAAAAACCCAGAAACTATGGGAAACTATGGGGGATCCGGTTATTTGTGTGCATCCATTTGTGTGTCCCAGGGCCCCTTCACGGACAACGGGAGCCCTGGATCCCGACCTGCCGCGGCACTCTCGAGCCAGGTCGACGCGAGCTGGCCCCGGGGCCCGATGCTGGGCTGGAACGCCTGGGGCAAAGACCTGCAACGCCTGGACGTCTGAGATCCTGGGCTTGCTCTGGCCCCTCCTCCTCCTCCTCCTCCTCCTTCTCCTCCTCCTCCTCCTGCTCCTCTCCTCCTCCTCCTCTCCTCCTCCTCCTCCTCTCCTCCTCCTCCTCCTCCTCCTCCTCCTCCTCCTCCCTTCCTCCTCCTCCTCCTCCTCCTCCTCCTCCTCCTCTCCTCCTCTTCCTCCTCCTCCTCCTCCTCCTCCTCCTCCTCCCTCCTCCTCCTCCTCCTCCTCCGCCTCCTCCTCCTCCTCCTCCTCCTCCTCCTCCTCCTCCTCCTCCTCCTCCTCCTCCTGCGCCCCTCCTCCCGCGCCCGCTCCCGGCGCTGCCCGGCTGCCCCCCAGGAGCCATGGCCACCCGCTGCTGCCCCCACGCGCGCGGGGCGGCAGCCGCAAGCGGCGCCGAGAACCCCAAGCCACGATGGCTGACTGTGGACGACCGACGAGCGACGATTCACCACAACAACTTCACGGCGCGATGACGTCCCCTCAAACCCGGGCGTTGCAGTTTTTCCACACCGGGCGCTGTCGCCAGGTTTCGGGCCCTGGGACCCGCACATCGCGCTGCGACCATTGAGGGAAAAAACCTGCCACAAACGTGTTAAGGAGCCACTTAGCATGACCCCCTCCAGGTCTGTGTATCGAACAAGCGTTCCCTGGGAGACGGGCCAGACAAATCTTGAACCCAGAATCTCGAACGCTGTAATTGCCGATGTTACGGCCGTGGGATGGACGGGGTAGTTTGTCTTTTTCTAGCTCGAGCGTTGTTGCAAAGGTTGCCCCGTCAACCAGAGGAAAGAGCAACACACGCACCCAAACCTGTACGGGGAAGGGCAACGAGATGAGAGCGCCACAGGTGCGGGTTCTCGAGCCCCGAGGGGAGGAGCTCCCGTCCGAGCGGGGACCCCCATCCGATCACGCACGCACGTAGCCTCCACAGAGCTCCATCCCGAGAAAACGAAGCATTTGTTTTGCGCATTATTTCCGGAAGGTGGGTGTGAAAGTGATGGCGTGTGCATACACGTGCTTGCCCCTCGTTTCATAATGTACTGACTGTGTGTAACATTGTGGCTCAGGGCCCTTGAGCTTTAGGCTGTTCAGCGGAAACCTATAACATATCATATCGACATCCGTCGCAACGGATCAGGAGTTGCATCTTCACATTGGCAGCGGAGCAGTTCGAGCCGCGGACTGCAGATCTCGTGCTATCGAGTGGCCCAGCGGATTGACCGCTATCAGGTGGATTGCCCATCGAGCAATATTCTAGTGGACGCTGGAGGAGAAGACCTGGACGCCCTACACGTTTCTGAATTACAAGTAATTCGTCCAGTTCTCCAGCGAGATGGCGCCAAAGGCGGCGCCCGACGATGATGAAGCGGGTACCAACGGTGGTCCCAGCTGCAACGTGAAGGTGCCGAGCTTCGACCCACAGACGATGACCATGAACGACTTCCGGAGACGAGTGGCAGTATTCAAGATACGCACGCGAGTGCCAGTGGAAAAGCAAGCAGCGGAGTTGTATGGAGAGTTGAAGGGCGACGCCTGGATTCACGCCGAAGATCTAGATCCGACAACTCTGCAGGACGAAGAAGGGATCCAGACGCTGCTCGATTTCCTAGCGGAGAAGTTCGACGATGAGAAGGTCATGGAGCTCGGCGCAGAGTTGAAAACATTCTTCACTAAGATGCGAAGAGAGAATGGAGAAGAGATGAGAAGCTATATCAACAGATTCGACACGCAGGTATCGAGATTGAAGACGTTGAGCATCGAGTTTCCAGATCAAGCATTGGCGTGGCTGTTTATGTGGTGGCTCGGATTGCCGCCCGATCGTGAAGCAGGAGTTTTGAACGCCAATCAGAATAAGTATGAGCTGAAGCCCTTGCAGAAGCAGACGTTGCTCAACGTAAAGGACGCAAACATGATGGATCGCACCAACCCTCGTCGTCCACCGCAATCCCCATCAACACAGCCGACGACAAGGCCGCAAGGCTACCGACCACAGCGGAGATGGGGAGCGCACATGACAGAGCAAGAGAACGACGAGTAGGTGACAAACAACGAGACGTTCGAGACAGAGGTCGACACGAAGGACGTGCCAGAAGAGCTTCTGGAGGAGCACGCCGACGCGGAGGCCGAGGTTTACAAGTTAGAGAAGATGCTTGTCCGAGCCAAGGATCGACAGCGTGATGCGAAGCAAGCTCGAGGTTTCTATCATCGAGATCGCATGCCGGGATCAGGCAAGGGGACGACACTTCACGCTGAGGATGTCAATTATGCCCTGCCTGGTGCCGGGATTGTTATCTCAACGAGCGCTGGGACAGCTGAGAGCTGTGCATGACCATGGCGAGGGAGCTGGCGAGAGTACCATGACGTTCCGAAGGCTCGGTTTGCAGGGCCTCGAGTTGGGGCAGACCAAGAGTGGACACCCCAGTTTCAACGTGCTTGAGTTCGACAGGGCCCGACTTTTCACAGTGGCTCCAGACGTGAGCCCCAGCCAGACAGAGATCAGGCTGCTTCCGCCTTCACAAAGGTGGTGGAAGGTTCTGGAAAAGGAAAGTCATCAACATCACGAGCATCATAACATTCATCATGCGATTCAAGACGAGCCCGAAGATCAATCCGATCAAGTACGAGGACAAAATCAAGCAGAGCGAGTCCGATTCGAACGAGAGCTAGGACAAAGCCAAGCGCAACATCAGCCAGATCATAGAGATCAGCCAAAACTGAAGAAGCCAGAGCCTGACGATATCGCCGATGATAAGCAGCAAGCAAGAAACACAGCAAGCAGAAAAACAAAACCAATTCTCAAGACCCACGAGGAGCTCAAACATAACAAACAGCCTGGGCAACCATTGTGGGCTCAAACGAGTTCACAGGGTACAGCATCCTCGACACGGGATGCCACCAGCTACCGTCCTCGCATGGATCTCGAATTGGGATATCCTGGACGTGGACACCAACAAGCGTTACAACACGGCCGTTCTAGTACGCTGGAAGCGCCTGTTTCGATTTCTCTACACAGCCGTGGTGATGGCAAGGGATCCGTCGGTGGGGCTGATTTTCCACAACGGGCGTCGTCTGGGGGAGAGCCTCGCATCTCGAGACCGCGAACCCCGAGCACCACGTCGCCTGCTGCCGCTGGGCAACATGGTCAAGATCGAGCTCCAGGACGAGATGGAGGACAACGACTTGGAGTATCAAGGACTGAGCTGCCGGGAGATGCGCGTCATTCTCAACGACAGGAGGATCCAGAACGGCCAGATCAAGAAGAAGTCTCCAGCTCTGGACCCAGACTTGAAAGGCGTCGCCAAGATGAAGCGCGCGGAGCTGCTCGTGCTGGCCAAGAAAAAGGGCATCAAGGTCAGCGACGACATGCTGAAAGACAAAATCATATGCTTGCTACAGGGACAAGTTCCGAGAGCGATCAAGAAGGAAGAGCTGAAGGAGGAAGCGCTGAAGCAGCTTTCGACTTCGAGGAGTGCTTTCAGCTCACGCTCGGGGGCCTGCGCGGCCAAGCCGAGCACGGTCAAAGAGCCCACGAGCTCCGCCGGCTCCGAGAACGACGCGGACCAGATCAGCGAGGAGGACTTTGTGACCGCCGAAAACATCGGAGTGGAGGAGGACCAGCCGTGGGAGATGATCGCACCGAGCGGGAAGAGTCGCCGGAGGGGCCACGATTGAAGAGGAAGATGAAGCCAGGCCAGACCAAGCGCTTCAAGGATATGATCAGCAAGGCTCTGATGTTCCTCACGTGGCAGACGGCATTCCTTGGATCATTCTTTATCAAGCCTCTCTTCAACGAAGGGAAGGCAATCGCTCAGGACATGCGGGACATTTTCAGTATCAAGACAAATCTACGTTATGATTTGATGCAGATATTTGCCGGTGAAGCTGTCCTATCCGAGGAGTTCAGTCAGGCAGGCTTGAAAGTATGCGAGCCCATAGACCAACGCTGCAACTACGACCTGCGCACGCCCGCTGATCGACGCGAAGTTTTGAATATGTACCATGCATGCAGACCTCGACTCGTGACGCTGGAGTTTCCATGTACGCTCTGGACGCAGCTTACAAGAAAAAACTACAAAGGCGAATATCGACAGCAAGAGTTGAGGAGGAAGAGGTTACGTGACAAGCCGTTGCTCGAATTCGTGGAAGAAGTGAGTATGCTGCAGTTGGGCAACAAGAACGACATCCTAGTCGAGAACCCTTGGGAGTCAGAAGCATTCAAACAGCCACAGTTGCTTCGTATGATGGCCCATCCTAGAGTTCATGAGGTGAAAGTCGACATGTGCCGCTTCAACCTACGACATCCGAGATATGGAGGCAAGGTCCGCAAGTCGACCAAGCTTCTGGTATCCAACGAGTCGTACGTCAGGAAGCTGGGCAAGATATGCGACGAGAAACATCGTCATGACCACTTGGAGGGAGCTCACTATACACGGTTGGCTGGCAGATACACCAAGGAGTTCGCGAAAGCAGTACTAGTGGCCTATCAGTGCAACAACTCTACCTATATGATGGAGTACGGAGTATACGCGACCGGAGACCTGATGGACCTCATGGGCGGAGAGTCCGACGAGTGGTTCTACTACGAGAACGTACGCGACTACAGGGAGCTGCCAACCAAGCTTCCAGACGGCCCCGACTGGACACGAGTGGGACGTCGCCGTATTACGGACCTAGACGCCGACGTGGTGCTACAGGACTTCGAGAAAGCAGACATTCCCCTGGATCACATACGAGCCAAGCTGGATCGCACAGCCAAGTTGAAGGTGTAGCTGTGGTACAAGCCAGAGCCGGTGTCCAGCGACCTGGGCGCCAAGGCTATTCAGTTCGGTCCTGGAAGCTCGGAGTGCTCGAGTAAGGACTTGTCGGCGCTACGTCAGCTACACCAGAACTTGGGCCATCCTAGTAACGAAGACCTGGCCCGATCTTTGAGGTTCTCAGGCTGCCGAGCTGAGGTGGTCAAGGCGGCTAAGTCGTTAAGGTGCGCGTCCTGCATGAGCAAGGCTAAGAAGAAGATAGCGCGCCCAGCTAGACTATCTCACACGGCAGATTTCAACGAGCAGATCGGCCTGGACTGTTTCTCACGATCAAGGACGCGAACGGCCAGTCGTGGGATTTTCTCTCAGTGGTGGATTTGGGTACTACATTTCACGTGGTTGGAATGATAGAGAGCCATCATTCGGAGACGCTCGTGCGGGTGTTTACTCAGATTTGGACCAGCTGGGCAGGACCTCCGACAAGCGTCGCGGTGGATCTCGAGAGAGGTTTTGGCTCAGTATTCCAGGAGATGCTCGACAGATTTCACTGCACCGTGGTGCCAGTGGCAGGACAGGCCGCGTGGCAACATGGACGGACTGAAAGGCAAGGAGGCTGGTGGAAGGAGCTAGCCGAGAGGACGATTGCGCATACTCAAGCAGCTGGAGAGTCAGATATGCGTGTACTCGCGTCCGTGGTTACAGGTGCGAAGAACGCTTTGCGCCGACAGTGTGGCTTCAGTCCGGAGCAGTGGGTATTTGGAAAGAGTGCACGCTTACCTGCCGACCTTGTTGACGGAGCTCATCACGATGCGGCTCACGAGGGCGCGGAGCTACAGCCGATGGAGCGACAACTCAAGATGAGGACAGCAGCGCGCAAGGCTTTCATGGAGATGCAGAACGACAGTACCATGCGCAAGGCTCTACTTGGACGTGCCCGAGTTACTCCTCATCCCTTGGAGCAGGGAGATTTGTGCTTCTACTATCGGCAGCTCAAGAAGGGCTCCATCAAGAAAGGGACCTGGCTTGGTCCGGCAGTGGTGGTAGGCAAGCAAGGCCAGAACTACTGGATATCGCATGGTGGTTTCACGAAGCTCATCGCTCCAGAACATGCTCGACCGATCTCATCCGAGGAGATCTGGTGGCCTGGCATTGACGATCAACACGGGGAGGCCATCGAGCAGTTGCAGCGCGCCATCAGGGACACCGACGTGGCCGCTGACATGGAGTACGAAGACCTTCGAGCTGAACCACCACCGCCGCCAGAGGAAGAGGACGCCGCGGACGTAGAGATTGGGCCTCCCGAGGCAGATCCCTCCGCAGAAGTGGCGCAGCCTCAAGATGAAGCCGACGTCGAGCTTCCATCCGTGGAGGACGAGACCTCAATTGGGCAACCTGCGCCAGCATCTTCCTCATCAGCAGCACCTGGACCAGCCCAGCAGCAAGCAGGGCCAGACTACGGAGACTGGAGTCGCGAAGAGTTTCAGAGACGACGAGCGGTATACAGCCCCCTCGATGACGTGCCATTGTGTATCAAGACGGCACGCGCCAAGGCGGAAGCTGCACGGCAAGCAGCCCAGCCATATTATACGATTGCGGATGACGACTTGGACGAAGGAAGCTCTACCAACGCCGCCTTCGCCACGATGCTGCGAGGAGCTCAAGCCCAGAGCGAGAGGCTCCGGAAGAAGCTGCAAGACAAGGAGATCGCTTGGAAGGACATTCCCGACGAACAGAAGGGCCTCTACATCAAGGCGATCGTGGAGCACTGGGAAGAGTGGAAGAAGTTCGGGTCGGTGGAGGTGATGTCGCCCGAGGCTTCAGCCAAGGCGAGGGAGCAGAACGACAAGAGTCGATTCCTACCGTCGAGGTTCGTGTTTCGTGACAAGAACGCTACCATACGCACGGAGGCTAACCCAGTACCAGTTAAGGCCAAGGCTCGGTTGTGCGCTGGAGGTCACCGCGATTCAGATCTACAAACTGGAGCCTTGAGAACCGACGCTCCGACTGTGACGCGTACGAGTTCGCTGTTGTTTTTCATTATGACGGTTCGGCACGGCTGGGAGCCCGTGTGTGCAGACATATGTCCGCGTTCATGCAGGGCGAGGAGCAACCTCGCGAGAAGGAGCTTTTCATGGAACAACCGCCGCAAGGATTGCCCGGACTGATGCCTGGACAAGTGCTACGAGCTGTCAAAGGGGTATTTGGTCTTGCGACGGCTCCAAGGCAATGGTGGGCTACGCTGAAGAGCACCCTACTCAAGGTGGAGCTGATCGGCGAGAACGGCCGCAAGTTCAACCTGGTGCAGAGCCTGGTGGACCCAGCCTTGTTCGTGGGACACGGATCAGATGGATCTCTGCAGGCCATCGTGTGTGTTCATGTCGACGACCTACTGATAGCCGCTAGCACAAAGTCCAGCTACCAGACCATCAAGGAGCTAGTTCCATTCGGAGGTTGGCAAGGTTTACCTTTCACGTTCTGCGCTAAGGATGTGACTACTCGTGCCGACGGTTCAGTTATCCTATGTCAAGAAGTGTTCGCCGACAAGCTGGAGCCACTCGATCTCACCAAGGAGCGCAAGCGAGACTTGGGATGTCCAGCCACAGAGTTGGAGATCGCGGAGAACAGGAGCTTGGTGGGAAGTTTAGGCTGGCTTGGGACTCAGACACGACCCGATTTATCAGCAGGAGTTTCGATGTCTCAGAGAGTTCAGAATTCACCAGTGGTGGCCGACCTCATCGAAACCAACCGTATCGTGTCAGAGGCTCGACGTTTCAAGGAGACCGGTGTCACTATTCCGAAGATGGAGGGAGATTTGTGTATACTTGTGTTTCACGACGCCGCATGGGCTAACGTTGACGAGCCAGATGACAAGGTCTCTGGGGTTGCTTAGTGGTGTGCCCGCCGAGTACGCACGGCATTTGCCTCAGAAGCGCCCAAGCGCCTCAAGGCCAAGAGTCAAGCGGGATTTCTGATTTTCGTGGCCGAGAAGCAGATTCTCAATGATGGTGAAGGCAAGGCTGCCTTAGTGGACTGGCGATCCGCTACCATCAGTCGAGTATGCAGAAGTACGTTTGCAGCGGAGACCATGAGCGCAGTTGATGCATTGGGAGCAGCTATTGTGATGCGAGCTTCGGTGCTGAATATAATATACCCTAACATGACGATCGACGATATAGACCCGAGCTTATGCCCCATACAGTGCGTGACCGACTGTGCATCTTTGTAGGACACTATTCACCGAGAAGGAGCTGACAAATTACCAGCAGAGCGCCGTTTGGTTTTAGATTTGATTGGTTTGAGGGAGCTATTCGAAAATGAGCTATGCGAAGAAGTTGCTACAGCTACCAAGTCCAAGCTGCCTCTTTCATGGCGTCCTACGAAGTACATGGTGGCAGATGCTTTGACAAAAAGGATGGACGGCACCCAGATACGAGCTGCTATGAACGGCAGAGTTTTGTTTCATCAGGACACGCCGCCAGCAGATGATGATGATGATGATGATGATAATAACACGTTATTGACCTCATGGGCTACGACATGGGAGAGATGGATATGGCGGTGATACCTTGATGATGGGATCGGTGCTCGAACGGTGGTTTGGCCGGTCGTACCGACGACAAATAATCTGCTGCTGCCAGCTCGCCTGCCTGCCCGCCTGTCAACACGCTGCGTGTGTATAGTACGCACACTCACACCCGGTAAAGTATACGTGCACCTGCCTTCTTTCTGTAGAACTGTAAAAACCGCTGAGCTGGATGTATTTGAGCCGATCGACGGCTGACAGCCCTGAGTTCACATTTTCACGTGTGATATGCCATGCGTGTTTCCATATTCCTGGGATTGCCTCGGGGCAACAGAATTTTAGAACGAGTGTGAAAGTGATGGCGTGTGCATACACGTGCTTGCCCCTCGTTTCATGATGTACTGACTGTGTGTAACATTGTGGCTCAGGGCCCTTGAGCTTTAGGCTGTTCAGCGGAAACCTATAGCATATCATATCGACATCCGTCGCAACGGATCAGGAGTTGCATCTTCACAGTGGGCACGTCGGTGTGGGGCACGTCGGGGCGGGGGTGCGCTGCGATCGCTACAGAATGCGGGGCGGGGTCCAAGCCCTCCCCCACCTCTCCACATACGACCGTTACCGTTACCCGGTGGGGGTGGGAGGGTGGCCCAGGTAACGACCATCACGCGCCAGAAATCGATGAGTCGCATAGGCATGGGTGTTAGTTGGCGGGTCAACAGAGGAAAACGAATCAAGAAAACCTTGCCATCTCCTGGGAAGCCGATGCTTACTTCCGCCAACTTCCGCCGACCTTCCGCCAGCCTCCCGCCGGCGGAGGCGCCCCCGTTTTACTCCTGCCGCCTTCCGCCAAGCAGACGATACCAACTCCTTCGGGCCTCAAAGGCGAGACACTTTCTCGAATGCCTCAAATGTTAGCGCGTGACACTGCGCGAAGCGCACGGACCGCGACAGCCTCGCGGCGCGCCCTTCTCGACACCCCGCCCAGAGCCTCTCTGGCCTGGGCCACGAAGTGAGAGGCACGCCCGTCTTTGTGCCCGTGCGGGTGGCCACGAGGACGGTGGATGGCGATCTACGAGCCCCTTGAGATGTGCTTGCTTCTATGCCTGGCGATCGCTGGCTTGCTGCTCTCCCCTGGCGTCGCTCCTCCTCCCCTGCCTGCGGCTCGTGCTTTCATGCTACGTCATCTCTGAATCCGCCCGACGGTTGGCAGCCACGGTAATTGGGAGGCACAAGGACATACTAGTACTGTATGTTCTCCTTGGAGGCGCGCGTCCGACCCAAACATATAGTATACCCATCTTGTAGTATATCGTTTCCCGAGCGGTGTGGCCAGAAAGCACCCGCCATGACGCGTATACTATAAGATTTCTCGGTGCGCGCGTCGCCCCTGAGGGGGCGACGCACATATAGTATAAGTATGTTGGGGTGACGCCGAGTAATGGACATCACCCAAGCGACTCCAACATAGGACCCATGGGGGGCCATCGGGAAGGAAAGCATTCCCGGTGCGCGCCGAAGAACCCAGGGGGTCCGGTTTCCGCGGAAAGACGAAAGGCATCCTTGGCGATGGGGTTCGGGCACGGGGGTTCCCCCTGTCTAATAGAATTCCGGAAGAGGAGTGAACTCTCAGCCGCAGGGGTACTGGCGCGCGGGGTCCCACCCGCCAAAGCGCAACCAGACGAGGAAAAGCGCGAGAGCCCAGATTGTAAATGCAATGCAGCATCACTCTAGGAGTAGCCGTACTAGGGACTTGTGTTAGTATTACTTGCACGCTACTGTGTGTCCTATTTCCGAAATCGACATTATATACGGTCGTCTTATTCCTTGATCGCGATTGTATTGTGCTTCCGTACCCCCAACACGCGATCCGATAGTATTTCCGTATTCCTAAGTCACGAGTCTATACTGTTTCCTTAATTGCCCCAATCGCAATTCGATAAGACTACAGGGAACATCTGCGCGTTAGCACATGATGGTACCAGTTGTACTCAAATACTAGGTGCACTCTAGCTGGAGGGGTTCAAGGGTTCCAATGGCAATACGTGCGCGGAAGAAGGAAGCAAAATTCATGCGCCGCCAGGGGTACTGGGTTTAACGACTCACCGCGAAGGTGGACCCCCCGCGGAAGGAAGAGCAAACAAAAATCTGGCCGGGAGGGTGGGGGGGTTCAGGCATGAGTCGCGGGGGCGAATGGGGGCGATTAGTGGACCATGCAGCTTTCCTGATTCAGTGTGGAGCGTGTCTCTCTGAAAACATGGTCTGAGAGCTACATGCGTTAGCCGCAATGACCAGGCATGCCTTGAAACGTACTGCGCGCGCGCTATCACGCTGGCTGGCGGAGCTCGTACAGCATGTACGAAGAATAGCATGAGACGTTGGAGGCATCATCTAATTGTCATGTCTCTCTTCAAACATGGTGTGAGGGCTACATGCAGGAGCTGCAATGCCCAAATGCCTCGAAATATGATGCACGCGCTGTCACGCTGGCTGGCGGGGTGCGGGAATGGCAGGAGACGCCATGTCTCTCTCTCTCTCTCTCTCTTTCTCGCTGTCTCTGTCTCTCTCTCTCTCTCTCTCCCTCTCTCCCTCTCTCTCTGTCTCTGTCTCTCTCTCTCCCTCTCTGTCTCTCTCTCTCTCTCTGTCTCTGTCTCTCTCCCTCTTTCTCGCTGTCTCTGTCTCTCTCTCCCTCTCTCTCTCTCTCTCTCTCTCCACAAGTCGCTGACAGCGCAGCACGCCCACCCACGATCCAGCGAGCAAAAACGCTCAGAGGATACCCATGCAAAACTCGGGAGGCTCACGCTGAGAGCAGCGCGGAAGTTGTCACGGCACTGCTTCGGGATGCCCTCAAAGAAAAGACGACGGCTCCTACAAACAGCAGCGACCCATCGTTGATGGGCGCCGACACGTCTGGGATCAATGCGTATTGAAAACCACGCTCTTGGGGTACAGACTTAACCCTACTTGTCCGTCAGCTGGATTCACGCGTCTTGCTCTCAGGTTGTTGGCGGGCAGCCTCTGGTGGGCTGCTTTGAACTAACCTGGAAGGGAGAAAGATGAGAAGCAAGAGATAAGCATCGAGGGACGCACACACATACACACATCTCTCTCATACGCACACGCAACAAGGGGGGATGAGGTCGAGACCGAATCAAAGAGCGCCCCAACTGGCGCGCGGCCACTGGAAAAATAACAAAACATGACCGACTGGACCTCGCCCGCGCCGGTATCAAGGCGCGGGCGAGGTCCAGTCGCTGATGCGGTGTCTTCTGCATCACAAGGGAGCCCTGCGCTCGAGCGAAGAAAAACTGACTGCGCAGCCACCATGCGGCCACGAGCTCGCCGAGATCACGTGCCACAGCTACACACAGCACAAAGGGATCGCCCGTGCGCGTTGGTGGGCCTCTGCCGTGGCTGATGCGGTGTCTCCTGCAGCATAACGGAACCATGCGCTCGAGCGAACAAACTGACTGCGCAGCCACCCTGCGGCCACGAGCTGCCCGAGATCACGTGCCACAGCTACATACAGCAAAGGGATCGCCCGTGCGCGCGTCAGCAAGCAGAGTAGCGCCATTCGCACCCTGCCCCTCCCCCTCCATGTCTCTATGATTCGATGCTTCTCACTTGCCCCATCTCCTCTCTTGGGCGCCCGAATTATCCGGGGTAACTCGGGTCCTGGGTAACTCGGGTTTGGATTCCCGAAAAACGAACCCGAGTTAGCCCTGACCCGAGTTACCCCTGATGAATTGGGGCTCTGGGCGCCCGAATTATCCCGGGTAACTCGGGCCCAGGGTAACTCGGGTTCGGAATCCCGAACAACGAACCGGGGTAAGCCCTGACCCGAGTTACCCCCGATGATTCGGGGCTCTGACTCTCCCCTTCGGAGTGCGCGCTCCGTCGCCAGGCACGAGCGGCACGAAGCCGCCCAGGCCCTCCCCCCGTCCGCGGGCGCCCGCCGTCCGCTGGCGCTGCCGGCCCGCGCGCGACGCCCCGCGGCTCCGCGGCTCGGCGGCCCGCTCGCCCTGGCCACCAGGCCCTGGCCATCGCTCGGACGTCCATTCCCTGTGTTTTCTTCGGTTTCGTACGTGGTTTTTTCGCCAAATGATCAAGGATGCTCCTCGATGGCCCTCGCCGAAGGAAAAATGCACACGTCCGAGCGATGCCAGGGGCCTCCCCGGGGGCCTGCGGCTGGCGGCGCGGGCCCTCGGGGGGGGGTTCTGTCGGGCCTGTCTCCCACACAATTTGATTTTCGAGGAAAAATCAAAGATACCCCAAACATACCCCGAAAAGGTCAAAAAATACCCCCAAAATAGTCCCCAGACTATTTTTGAATCCTTTTTTTTTTTTTTTTTACTATTTCTAGGGTATTCTTAATTTTTCGTCGAAAATCCCCCTGTAGGGGGACAGGCCCGGCATAAGGGGCGGGCCTCGTCCCCCTCCCTCCCCCTCCCTCCCCCTCCCTCCCCCTCCCTCCCCCTCCCTCCCCCTCGGGGCGCCCAGCGGCTGCGCGAGGGCACCCGCAGCAGCGAGGGCGGCGGGGCGCCCTAGGCGCCCGGAGGGCGAGGGCGCCCGCGAGGAGGAGTCGGCGGAGCCCCCGTGTGGCTCGAGGAGTGCGCCCCGCGGGTGTCCGTGCGGGCCGGCGCGTCCGCGCGGCGGGCTTCCGAGAGGCGACTGCCCGGGGCGGGCGCGGGGCGCGTGAGGCAGGGGAGGGCCAGCGCGGCGGCGGGCGCAGGCGCCTCCTTCGCGGCGCAGGCGAGCCATGGGTGCTGCAAGCACTGTCGCGCCGTCGGGCGTTCCTCCGGCTTGGTGGGCAGCAGCTGGAGAACCAACTCCCGCACAGGTGTCGGAAGCCTGGCCATGCCCTCCTGACATATAGAGCTGAGAGCGTTCTGTGCCAGGGTCTCCTTCTGGCTGGGACTGTGGAAAGGCCCATGGCCTGCCAGGCACGTGTACAGGAGTGCCCCTGCGCAGTAGCAATCGGCCTTGGTCGTCAGCGCCGGCGAGCCCTGGGGCAACATCTCTGGGGGGAGATATCCGACGCTGCCCACGTTGGACTTGGCAGCGTCCGTGTCCCACGAGAAACAGGCCAATCCAAAGGCCACCAGCTTCACCCGATTGCCACAGCCAGCCAGCATTAAATTCCATGGCTTGATATGTGTGCACTGGTTCACGGCGCGGTAACCGAACTCTGGGTTACCGTTCCCCATGCAAGCTCATTGGCTCCTCTGAGCCTCAGGTAGCTTGTCGTATCTGTCCATGTTCAGATAGAAGATCTGCTCCCCACCATTTCTTTCCTCATCAGTAACCATGCCCGTACAAGTCGTCTCCGCATCGTGTCGTATTCTTTTCGTGTTCAACCCTTGGCAATTCAACTTAAACAATGGTCTCCGACACGCATATCTCATAGTGAAATTTCTCTGCATACTGAATAATAAATGTCGACGAGAATCTCTCTTATCATGATTTCCCAAGTTGTACTCCTCTATATACTTGGCATGTGTGCTGTATCTCCGTGTTGAAAGTTTTTGCCACTCCTCCAACGTTTTCTCTCCAATATTCCACCGTCCAGGGCACGTTTTTGCTGCGTGACTCCATGCGACAATTTGTTCACCTTCTGCTCTGCGTAGTTCGATATCTCTTTCACACCTTGCACATTTGAGTATCGTGGCCAACGCTCGTTCGAAAGGGGTCAAGAATAGATGCATCGACTCATCATCCTTCGCCGTTATGTTATGAAAAAGCCGTCTCTCTTCTTTCCTCCGATGAAAGTTTGTTTTGATATTTTTGAGGAGTGTCCTATCATCTTCGGTCAGCAAGTCAATGAATACGGCCTTCAATGTGTTGTGGTTTGGCCGAACACGCGGATGTTCTTTGATATTCAAAACCCCGTCTCTCGTTTGGCCCCTGCTGTGTATTGACTGTTTACCTCTCAACCTTCTCGACTGGTGTACCTGAAGATTCCCCTGCCAAGCTGGAGGTACGCTATGCGCTGGAAAGTACTGCATTGACCATGGCTTCGGTATGTCGAGCGTCATCCCTGTCGTCGCAATATTGAATAATAATGAGTTTGTCGCCTCTGGCATGATCATCCTGAGCCGCCCTTGTATCCCTGTGGATAGTTTGAGGCTCAGTGGGTACAGATGTCGACATTCTTTCAACGGTGGAATAATAGCCTGTCCATCCCTTTGTTTTTTATCATACGTTGTGATCTCCGTGATTTTGACCCCGAACTTCCTGAACATGTTGTTGGATGCCGCGATAAACATCTTTGCCTGTGTCCCAATCGAGTTTCCTGGCCCCCCTGAGCGCAGTGCCATGTGTTCCCCCGTTGCGTAAACGAAATCGATCACCGCCGCTATCGATGAGGTAGTGTAGGCCGCCGCACTTTCGAAGTTCTCTGGTGCTGCTGGGGGGTCTGGATCTATGTACGTGTTCTGCCAATACCAGAAGATAGCCTCTGCATTGCTCTGTTTGTATATCCAATCTACTTTGTGAAACCTCAAATCTGTCAACTTTTTCCCTTTGAGATGGGGTTGGCCAGTTTTGACTTCTCTCGGCTCCCACCAGAAGTTGGGGAAGACCTGCTCTCTGGTGGCTCTCGTACCCACGGTGCCTTCCGCCTTTCCCGCCGATGGCAGGACTGAGGTCACCGTTCGTACTTGCTTTTCCCCCGAGTCCCGCGGTCCTTGTCCTGGTTGAGACGGCCCTGGGGTCCTCGGAGTTTGTGCCTTTGTGCTTGTCGTACCTGGCCTGGTCGGCGATGGAGTCGCCTCTTTCCCTGGCTCAGCATGTCCTGGTAATGCTCCCCCTTGTTGTTTTCCTCGAAGTCGTCTCCGAGGAGGCCCTGGGAGGAGTTCTGATGGTCCTGATTCTGGTGGGGGATGTAGTACTTGTTGCTGCTGCTCCGTGTCCTCGTCCATCCCTCCTCCATGTCCGAATACATCTGGTTCCTCCTCAAACATGGCCTCCTCCGCATTCCTGTCCTCCTCCCATTGATGACGGGCTTGCTCGTTTAGTTCAGCCTGCTGTTGAAGATACCCCTGTATATGTGCTCCTCGGTTGCCGTATCCAAAGAGTTTAAAGCCCGCTGCTGCTCGATATTGGACCACGTCTAAGATCATGCTCTGGATGTCCTGTGCGAGCTTCACCCTCTTTTTATATGTGTCAAGGGTCTGCTCGTCGATTGCATTCCTGAGTGCTGCCTGTACAGCACGCTTGTCTGCCTGTTCATTGTGTAGCCTTGCCTGTCTGCCAGCTGCCTCCTCGTTTTCAATCATTTCTTTTGTTTGATGACTTCGAACTTTGCGTACCTTGAAGTTTTCCTCGCCCTTCATCCTGATGGCGAACTCAATTCTTCTCCACAAGTCTCGATGTGATTTGAATTTGGTACTTTTCCTTTGAATGATAGATCGGAGGCCACGACATACATAATCTGAATCGACAATATATACTTGGCGTGACCATGCCCATGACGCCCAACGCAACGCCGCGCGGACCTCCGACCTCTGGGCCGTCTGGACTGACCCTCTCAATATCTCAGTCGTGTTGTGCGAGTGCCCCTCCCCATAAAAGAGCCCCCATCCAGCACGCCTTAATCTCATATCAATTTGCCCCGATGGAGCGGCGCCGTCACCAGCCACCACGAGATACCCTTCTGAATCCACGCTCATCTCGTCCTCCTCTCCTACTTGAGGGGGGTGGGGGTCAGGGTCCTCTTGAACTCCCAGTGTAATTTCAGCAAATCTGTTGTCCAACTCATCATCATCTGCAATAATACCAGTTAGACGTGTAAAGAGAGGGACGGCATTGATTTCGTCCTCCGTGTATTTTTCGTACAACCATCTTTTTGCAGGTTCGTGGTGTTCACATTCCCATGAAGCATGCTTTACCGTCTCCGTGATTGGCTCCTTGCAATAAGGACAGTCAGCGCTCTCCAAGTATCTCGGCACTAACTTATCTGAAGTAATGAGCCCCGCCGACCAGAGGAGTCGACATGCTGCTCGTCTTGCATATGACCATTTGTATGGCGATACAGCTACCCCCCCAGGGGTGTCTTGTACGTCATGGTGCTTGCTTTTGCGGCGTCGTTGACGATATAACTTCACCGTTGCTTCGTAGTCTATTCCCACCTCCGTTCCCGCATACTCTTCTCTTAAGTGTCGGTCCCGATGTGTATGTATGTGAAAGCCCGTTTTCCAAACCGCCTTCCTGAGATCTGCCCTCAAGATATGTCTGAAAAACAAGTCATCTGATTCAAGAAAATGTATCCTCCCTCCTGTCGGCCTCGTGATAACCAAGTTCTCGTCTATGTTCCATTTGAGCTCGTTTAATATAGTCATAAATATCTTCACTGGCCCATGTATGTCATCTTTGTTTGGCGGTTCTTTCTCATACTCGCTTATTATGATTTTGAATACCTCCAATATGTTCGATCTTTTTTGTAAAAGCCGTCGTACTACCACCAGCGCCCAGTATCTTGATGCCATCCACGGATCTATCAAGTGTCCATGCGCTGCCAGTGTGAATGTTGTGATCCTCGTTCGATACATAGTTTTCCCGGCCAATATGACTCGATGTATCCTGGCGGCCATGTGTTGCAACGTGGTCGTATTATACAAATGCTGCTCGCAACCGTAGAAACCTGTGGGAGACGCATACAAAGTCAGACATTTCTCACGGAAATCATATGATTGCGGCCCTCTGTCGATTCTTGCCAATACGTCTGAGTGCTTATCAATCCTCCGACTGGCCAGTTTATTTCTTTGTTTCAGTGAAGCTGCTGTTCCATCTGACAATATTCCACCGACCAAAATAATCGCCCGTGAACATCTCAATGGTATATTGCTGAATGCCTTCTCCACTGCATTTCTCATTTGTGATGTGCTTGCCAATGCTTTCGTCTTGCTCTTGTTTAGCCTGCAGCCCGTGTATTTGCCAAACTCCTCACACTCTGCTAGAGCTCTTTTCCCGTTGTTGAGAACCTCGTCTAAGTCGGGCCCCCTCGCATTGATCGATGAGTCGCCCACGAATCCCGCTGTGCTGCTTCTGGTCTTTTCCGCAACAGAACGTGACCACACCGCCATCAGTGCCGAGGAAACTTGAATACTGTAATTTGGCCCTTGCGCATATCCTCCCGCCCTGGTACGTGAGGTGTGCTCAACTGCCCTTCCCAATTTGAAGCGATACCTTGCCGTGTTTTGCAGACGTGCTTCTGCGCTCAAGTATCCCTTTGCATACTCCGTCGTGTTTTGATGATCCATGTGTGCTTCTAATAATCTGCCACCTATCTCTCTATGTATTTGATCAAAGAACTTTTCCCAATCAATACTTAATGTCAGCGAATGATGTCCTAGGAGTCTGGCTAGTTCTATTTCAATCGAATGATTCATAGCCACCTCTTGTGCTTCGTGTCCAGATCTAGCACCATGCATAGATATTGGTAGCCAAGACTCCCTCCAACTTTCTGTATCTCTCCATCTTGCCTTTTTCCCAACATGTGATCAAAGGGGTATAATTGTTTATTATCCTTGTTTTTGCAGCTGCCGGCAAGAGAAAGTCCTCCTCCCCGTTGTCGTCTGCATCTGGAACCTCGGATTTGCGCAAAGCGCTGGCGAATACCTCAAGCAGCGACTCTGGCCAATCCCCTCCGTCCTCGATGAACTGGAATACCCTGCAGTATAACTCCGTGATCTTTCTTGGTAATGCCTTGAGCTCCTGGACTCGGTAGCCGCAACCCGCCACCGCCCTCGATGCACTTAGCTCCTGAACAGCCTGGTGGTAGTCGTCCGCGTTCAACACCTTCAACTCGCATGATTCTTTCTTTATGAGATGGCCATACTTTTCCAGGAACTTTTCCCACGTGATATTTGGGTCACTCTTATTAAATATCGGATCCCATGTCTTACGTAGCTCCTCCAGTACGTCATCTGGTCTGATTGCATAGTGTTTCCCATGATTTGATATGGGATTTTCCGTTTGTTCATCCACTCTTATGGCCGTAATCGGTTCATCTCGTGGAGGTCGCATATGATTTCTGAGTACTGCACGGTCTATTTTGCTGGCTGTCGTCGTCGTTGCTGCGAACAGTCTGGCTCTCCATGCTTGTAATCTTACCTCTAGTCCATGTCGATCATTATTTGTCGATCTGGTCTTCTATCAATTTCTGTGGTGCTTGGCATTGTTTCAGGTCAGGCACTGCAGCTTCACT